CTTATGGGGCAGGACTTGCTTCAGTGGGGCTTTGGTGCTCACTGAGTCTGCCCCTTGAGTGTGTCTCTTATGGATATGAAGAGTTGTAATCCGTTATCATCTCCAAGGAGGTGCAAGGTCAGCCACTGTCTGGGGCCGCCCAGCAGGAACTACAGAGACATCTACAGATTCCTCCTCTTTGTATGGGGTTTGGAAGTGCCCAGATGAGGCCCAGCTGTGAAGCAAGGCTGCTACTACTGCCAGGTAGTGGACCATCTTTTGGAATCTCTGGGGCTCTCTGACCCAGCTGCAGTTTGTTTTAGGCAAAAGGACAGGCCATTCATATGCAAAAGCCGATGCACACAGCTTGGGTGGGGTTGTAAATTGGGTGGGGCGAAGTCTCTGGGAATCACCAGGGCGGAGCAAACAGCAATGGCTTCCCTGAACCAGAGAAGTCCCTGGTTCTCCGCATCCCGCGCACCCGTGCAGGAACAGTGATTACTGTGAGTACTTCTAAGAGAAAGCTGCCCTCACGTTCCTGTCCCAATTCCAGACAGTCCAGTTTCTCCCCATATGTGTCTGGGTCCCCCAGAGTATCGCCCGTAACTGGAATTCAGAGCAAGTGGGAGCTTGTATCTCCCTCCCGGTTTAAAGAACAGCACATCCAGGTGCCAGTACTTTCCGCGCCTCCGCACCTCTTACCAGTCTCAATGCGCTTTCTTCACCTCTCTAGTTGTAGAATTTCCACTCATACAGCTTTCCTGCAGTTCTGGGTGGTAGTTGTTCTGCCGTTTAGTTGTAATTTTGATGTGGTTGTGAGAGGCAGCAAGTATAGGTGATTACCTATACCACCATCTTGGTTTCTCTCTGCAGTTTTTTTTTTTTTTGGTTTTTTATTATTGATTTTTATAGAGAGGAAGGGAGAGGGATAGAGAGTGAGAAACATCAATGAAAAAGAAACATCGATCAGCTGCCTCCTGCACACACCCTGATGGGGATGTGCCTGCAACCAAGGTACATGCGCTTGACTGGAATTGAACCTGGGACCCTTCAGTCCTCAGGCCGATGCTCTATCCACTGAGCCAAACCGGTTAGGGCCCTTACTGTAGTTTTATGGTAAGTCTTGCTATCTAGTAGTATAAGTCCTCCAACTTTTCTTTTTCTAGATTATATTTAGTTATTCTTTGACATTTTGTATTTCAACATAAATTTTAGAATTAGCTTGTCAATTTCCACACATGCACAAAACCTTGGATTTTGATTGGGATTATAAGGGGAAGTTTTGTATGGAAAGGTTGTAAATTATTATTTAATTTCTTTAATGAATATGGGCCTCTTCAAATTTTCTATTTATTGTCAATTTTAGTAAGTTGTGTTTTTCTTTAAATTGTTTGTTAATGTTTCATCTAAATTTTGGAATACTGGCATAACGTTCATAATAGTATCCTAATTTTTTTCTTTTTGGAGATTTGGTTTTTAACTTACTAAGGCATTTGAGTCGGGAAATAATTAAATGAAATTCATGATGTTTAATTTTGTTGATGGCAACGTGGAGGGGTAGTTGGGAGCGAAGTTTCCCTGATATTAGGAAAGGAGGATAAACGTGTGCAGCTTCGGAAAACCCTCCGTGGTTTGGCTCACAGGTTATACTGGCCCCATTTCTCAGCTTTTCTGACCCAACAAGTCTCTCTTCAAGTTGTTCCCTGGTGCTCCAGTGTCATTTGAACTTCAGTTTGTTTATTGATGACTTCTTGGTTTCATTAAAGATGAATGCTTTTTTCATCCTATTTATCAAACTAGAGGCCGGGTGCATGAAATTCGTGCATGGAAGGGGGGTCCCCCCAGCCCATCCTACACCCTCTCCAATCTCGGACCCCTTGGGGGATGTCCGACTGCCGGTTTAGGCCCGATCCCGTGGCAGTTGGACTTCCCTCTCACAATCCTGGACTGCTGGCTCTTAATTGCCTGCCTGCCTGGTTGCCCCTAACTGCCCCCCCTGCTGGCATGATCGCCCCCAACAGCCCCCTCCCTGCCGGCCTGGTCACTCCTAACTGCCCCTCTCTGCCAGCTTGGTTGCCCCT